GAATAAACTCCCTGGTAGTTAAAATCAACTCAATCTGAGTGTACATGCGTGACCATCAAAAAGACTCCAGCACAGAGTTAAAATAACTCTGCTCCTGGAGTTGAATTTTTAACACTTTTTCAGAGTTAAAATGTAACTCTTTCTGGAGTTAAAATACTAATCCTACGGAGAGTAATTATAACTCTAAAATTGAGTTAATTATAATATGAACTCCTTATCAGTGTTAAAAATCAACATTTAAAAAATATTTAATTCAACACTTCTTAAGAGTTAACATTTATTTAACACAATCAAATGTTTTATGTGAAAATGACTACACTGAATGCCATACTCTTGACTTACTGTTTTTATTTGAGCAAATCCATAGATTAGGTTTAGAAATTCCATGCATGGATACACTTCGAAAATAATTGCGGTCATAAAATACTGTAAAACCTAACAGCAAAACATTTACATTAAATACATGCAGCCAGCTAACAGAGTGCCAACTAGAAATGTTTAGTAAATTTGTATAAAACATTGCCAACAACACATCGCTGCATTATATAAAATCAAGCTTGCAGGTTTATAAAAATAAAAAAAGTAGTGCAGTATAGGATTGTGTAACCTGAGGAAGACGCTTATACATGCTTATACATGAAGAAACAAGGAACAACTTGTGATACCAGGACACATTCTATGAATTGGTTTGAGGTGCCTGAACAAATGGAAAGCTGAACCAAAGTATGAAGTGCAGAGGAAACGACTTAACATTTTGGTTGAATAAGACAATTACTGCTTGTTCAACAGCCTTGCTCTCGGTTCTTTGACTTTTGGAGTTTCTTCAGCTGTATCTATATCAATTTTGTACATAGTTGTCTGCAAACATGTTTACAGGCTGGACAGAGCATTATGATCATTCACACTGAAAATTAAATTGGACTTGCTCAGTCAAAAGTACCCAAGGATGTACATGACTGACAAGGCAAAACTTTTCTGTCCAAGACTATGTAAAAGGTGGAAACCTGTGCTTTTGAAGACCCTGAAGCAAGATGATATGGTTAAGGGTTTCCTTTAGTGGTCAGGAGATGATCATCAAGATTTTGGCATGACTGAAACACAACACAAATGTCCCTTTATAAACAATGTTTAACCATAGGCATTATGTACAGTATTTGGAATAGGATAGAGCGGTCTTAAACCTTATGCAATTTCACCAGATGATATGTTGCCTCTCCAACACTGATCTTCTTGGGCTGCTTTCTTCCAGCTGATTGTGGAGTAAGAAGATCCAGCAGGACAAGTAGAGAAGCCATGTCACTGTCCCATTCTGGAGTCAGAAAATAACAGTAGTTATTTCAAACTAGTCCGTTTATGGCATCTCTAAGTTGTGCATCATAATATCTTAAAATTACGAACTATTAGTGGGGTAGTTATTATAGTTGTGC